TCATCACCTATGAATGACCTCCGCATATCTATTTGATGAGGTTCCTCCCAATTCATGTGAATCGAGATTAAAGATGGACTGAGAGGGTAAGTAGGAGCCATCGTGTTTATAAAATTTTCTATATTTTAAATCTTTTATGTATATATTTTATTAATAATTTATTTTGTCATCTTAAAATATAAAATAATATGTTGGTTCCTACACACACCTGCGGTTCCGATGAGTATTGTCCTTTCGTTCGTCGACTCCTGGAGTTCAAATGGTGGTGACTTGGTCGCAGGAACAAAGAACCTATCATGATTTTCTAAATAAGTGAACAAACATATATAACAATATAGCATCAGAAAATTTTAATTTTTTTGAAGGAAAAAAATCAATAATAAATACCGAAATTTAACAAAAATTTTCAGATGTTTTGTTAGTTTATTAAGGAAATTAATACTGTTTAGAAAACGAATTAAAAACAAGAACCGAAAAGTAAATATGGAAAACCTTAGTTTCATGTTTGTATGTGTAAGAAATTGGTGAAAATCAGACACGAATATAGCTTAAAAGTATTCCAAGTGATTTTTTTTTTAAAAAGGTTACTGCGATATATTAGTGTAGGAAAATGAAGGAAAATAAGAAAACTTCAAAAATTTTAATATATAAAGGTATTTTTGCAAGGAGTTTTTTTTGAGAGAGGATACTTTGTATTAAAATGATTTACAAAGTAACTACCTCAAATACCTCATTAAAAAACCTCCTTAACTCTAAATGGAGGAAAAAGAGTGTACCTTGAGGTGGTAAGTATAAAACACACACAATGAACATACATAAATTGAGAACCAACGAGGAAGCAAACACATACAGCAACACCAACGGAAAGATACATAATTTATACGATTCCTATTACTGAGAAACAGAGATACTCGCAAGCTAAAACGTATCCTTTGAACCTGACGCACCAAAATCTAAAGAGCTTCCTGACTTATCAAAAACTAGGAGAAACGAAAGCTTGCAGGACATCCAAATGAAGCTACAACGATCATGCATAATCTGCCACCAATCACAAGCAAGAACAGAAACATAATTTCAGGGAACAAAAATTCCACACATCTTACCAGCTGACCCAATAAATCTTGGAAATTACCCTATAAATGTGAAGCAAAGAAATTCATATTGACACCCAAATTTCAACCAGCCGGATTTCTTAGCCTTATTGCCACCATATAAGCGGAACACACCAAAAGCAGAGATACAAGATTGGACCACCATGATAATGCAAACCAGTAGTGCCACTGCTATTCCTTCACTAACCTGGTCGCAGAATTTCCCGTACATGTTGCGTATCACCATCCATTGAAGCTGCGTTTGCCCCATTTTGCAAACACAACTGATTGTGATGCTTCTCCCACAGCAGCCGCGTTCAAGAGCGCCATCTCCAACAAGACAACCAAAACTGATCAAAGGCAAAACCAGCAGCAATGGGATGAATCCAAACAGCATCTGAAACCAAATTCATCAAGCCGGCACAAACACAACAACATAACACTACAACACCATAACTACATCAATCTTCAACTCAGCTCTCAAACAAAACGCAGCACTAATGAACAACAACCAAAAGACTAACACCCCGACTAAGAGTAACACATCAGCAGACCATTGGAACAAAGACCACTCAATTCTAAACCCTGAAACTAGTGCTGCAACAGCTACACTTGCTTTGTACGATACAATAACTCGGGTGATGTCTCTCAATATAATACTATCCACAAACCTCTAACGAAACACTATGAAATCCGCAAGCACCAATCATGCAGCCAACATTCCACTAACGAAAAGATTCCTCTAACTCAACGCCTTGAGGCTTGAACTACACATCCCCATACCACCTTTCTCGGGACCAGTATTTTCTGCACATGCCTCCATGAAATCAGAAGCGCCCACACTAACATCGGCGACTGCAAGCCACGCTTCGCCATCAACCAAGGATCCGACAATGAAAGCACGAGCCTCATAACATTGCTGAACTACCAAAGGAAATAACTCCCAAAACACAGAAACTGCCAGTACTCTCAGACCAGGACTAAACGGCCCATCGATCTACACTATGGGCACGACGAATAGACAATAAGTGACAACACCTCATTTCCCACAACCGGAACACTAAACCAACAACTGCAGCAAAAACCTCCTGCAACCTAGGACACAACTCATCACCGACAACGCTGAATTCGCCGCTCCACCATCGGTCAGAGAGCCAACAAGGAACACACGATGCAATACACAAACATAGGAGCGGGCAGTGAACAGCATGAACGAACCCACTCACTCAATTCAAGCTAAGAGATGATGAAAGGTAACAACGGCGATGAACACCGACCTTGCTGCTTAAAAGCACAGTTAAAAAAAGGTAAAAAAACAAAAGAAAGAAAAAGGAGAAGGATCGACGGCCAGCAACCAGCCTTGGGGTGGTGCCGTCGCCACCGCATAAGCACCACTAACGACGAATACCATTAATTTAATTTATAAAAATTTAAATTCTAAAGGACTCAACGTATAATTATAAATTAGTTAAAAATTTAAAAATAAATTATTTAAAATAAAGGGTAAACTATACTAGTGACCACCTAACTATTATCCCTTTTCATTTTGACTAATATTGTTGAAATTTTGTCAATCAGGGCACTCAACTATTTAAATGTATTCAATTAAGCCACTTGCCGTTAATATTTAACGGAGAAGCTGATGTGGCAGTTAAAATATTCGATATAATTACACATTTGATCACTGTTACACTAGTATTAATACTAGAACAAAAAAATATACTTGTTCAATACCGAATCGATTAGTTTCCTTTGTTCTTTACAAATCTTCATCAGTAAAAATAGATCTCCAAATCATTTTCCAAGTTGAAGAGCAAAAGCCTTGCTATATAGTATACAAGAACGTGCACTTATTCTTCACTGATATTAATGCAGGACAGGGGGAATAAAAAGAAATTAAACAGCATACCGTTTTCAAGGCCACATGCAAAGATGATGAGGTATTTTCCAAGTGATGGCATCGTCGTCTTCCTCCATCTCCTAGAACTAGGTCTTCCAAATGCAGTCGTGGAATCCTCGATTTCTCTCATAATCGTCAGTCTTATCATCGGCTTCCTTGTCGACCTTGTTCAACAAAAGATCACAATTCTGCCATCTGATCATGAGGGCTTTCACCAACAAAATTAAAGGCGCCATATTCTTATTAACCATTGCATTCCTAATTGATAAAATATATAAGTAATAGTGGTCAAATGTGTAATTATACAAAATATTTTAATTGTCAGATCAACTTCTCCGTTAAATGTTAACGGTAAGTGGCTTAATTGAATGCATTTAAATAGCTGAGTGACCTGATTAACAAATTTTCAAAAATATTAGTCAAAATGAAAAGTTTCGATAGTTAGGTGGTCACTGATATAGTTTACCATTTATTTTAAATAATTTATCTATAAAATTTTAACTAATTCCTTCTTCCCGGGTTAACATGGCAACCTCTCCTGGTGGTTCCACCATTTCATGCAATCCATGGGGTAATGACCAGGCTAGTTTAGCTAGCCCATCTGCTATACTGTTATTTCCTCGTTTGACTTTTATCACTTCTACCTCCCAAAACCTATTCATTAACGCTTCAATATGTTGAGTGATCGTATGTATATGATCAACGTCTATCCTCGACCTGCTCAACTTGGTCGCTTCTTAGTTATCGGTTTCTATTTGTATTTTCCTTGGACCCAGCTCCGATGCCATTTTTAAACCTTCATAGATCCCCCACAATTCAGCTTTTAAGGTTGTGCAAACTCCAATATACTTGTTGAATCCACAACTTAGAGAAAAAGAGAGATATCAATGGAGAGTTTTTAGTTACATACTTTGAAAATCGTTGACATAAATGATTTTAATAATTAATTGATATCACGTTTTATGTGATAACTAAATATTTCTAAAATATTTTAAGAATTATAAATATTTAAAAAAGAATTGTAAAGTCACCTGACATATCGGTAATGTCACGTAATAATATATATATATATATATATATATTATTAAATTATGGTGATTACAAAGTGTATTTGTTTTAAATATTTTCAATCATTTGATAATAAATGCTCAATTGTCTTATCGTAGTCGTTGATGCTTGAACCATCGACTTCTAAAAATAACAACAATTCCTTTAACTACTGAGATAAATTGATTCGTGCAATAACAATATTTTTAAAACTTAACAATTAAGTTTTGATTGATTCAGATTTTCAATAAATGTAAATAAAATTTAATAACTTTATTGATTTTTCCCCAGAAGTTGAAATACTTCAAGTACATTTACCTTTGAACTAAATTTTAACGTATAATTATTAAATATTTTTTGTTTATTTTTTAAAATTTCACAAAATCCAAATATTTGGATTCAAACCTTATCTATATTGCTCATTCATCATCTATGCTTCGATAAGATAATAATGTGTTGATAATTAGAGGGGTAAATTAACTAAATTTCAACGAACAATAATATGTTTATATTCATTTGTGTATTTTTAAGAATGTTTATGATATATTAATATTCGTTTAAAATTTTAAATATCGTATTCATTTCATTTATTTTTTTTAAGGTGTTCATGTTTACTTATTTAATGTTCATGAACATGTTTATTTATATGTTCGCAAACATATTAATTTAACGTTCATAAATATATTCATTTATATATCCATAAATATATTCATTTGCAAGCTAAAATACAGTAAAATTATGACACTAGTGCTTAAACTTCATAGGCTTCATAGTTTGAAAAAATTTCGTCATATGTCCAATATAGTCACTACCTCAACCAATATTGAAAATACAAAATAAATAAATAAACTTATAAACGAGCCATTAAATGAGCTTATTCATAAACATAAACGAAAGATTGATAAACGAGCTTATTTGCAAACATAAATAAACAAGTTAATAAACGAATTTGATCGTAAACATAAAAAAACCAAACACACCTATATTCGTATTTATTCGTTTATTAAATAAAATAAAAATTTTGTTTATTCTCGTTTGTCTACTACTTATCACTGTTCAACTGCTACCTCTTCTTTTCGAGGGGGCCTCCATTTTCGATCGACGAAACTGCTTCCCACTACTTTTTCAGACTTCATCTGCTCATCTTGCACCTTGAGCTTTTCATCTATAAGTTCCAACAGTTGTTGAAGGCCCACACCAGTGAGTGCAGATACTTTGACGTGTGGAACATGCTGAGGTTCAGCTTCAGAATCTTTTAGCGCCTTACGGTCATTAGAGGTCTCAGCTTGCTTCTGGTCATTCAGGGTATTCCAGTAGTCATCCGCAGACTCGTCCTCTGACAACAGCCAGCCTTCGGAGTAATCCCCTTGCTTATCGTCATTCAATAAATCACTACCATCAACCGATTTCTCATCTAATAGCTCCGACGCCACATCAAAATCTTCTTCTGGAGAACCTTCAGTCTCGCCGTCTTCTGCACCCGAGAAATCGCCGATCTCAACATCTTCAGCATCACCCATTTCTTCTTCATAATCAATCTGAGTCAATTGTGAAGTTAGAAGACATCTTCATTCCTTTCTTCTGTTTAAATCCCTGAGGGGATTAGAGGAAAAAATGTGTACCTTGTTCCAGGCTTCAATCATGTTCTGAAGTTTCTCTTCTGACACTCCAATTTGCTGAAGAACTTGCAACACCGTGGAACGATGCTCATCGCGATTAGGCGCAGTGCAATCTATTACATGCTGCAGAAATATTTGGAAAAAAATCTATAAGCAGACCGGAATGCATAGGTTCACCACTGTTAAAAAGATTTGATTGGTTAACGATAATCATAAGGTCATCATCTTAAAACTAAACTGCTTTTATAAAACCAGAACTACAATATAAAATAGATTATTTTTTATGAAAACTAATAGAGGAGGGTTTATCCATTCATACCACAAGGAGGTCAGCCTCTAGAACCTCTTCTAAGGTTGAATGAAATGCTTCCACCAACTATAAAGTAAAACCCATTAGTGAAACGATGAAGACTGAAAAGAAAAACAGGATTAATGTCACATGCCCAATGCTTCTAGGTTACCTGCACTGGCAAATCCGATATGAACCCCACAGTATCACTGAGTAGCACTTTCCTCCTGACATGTTATATGCATAATAAGATCAATGGCAATATATTATAGTCTCGTCAATGATTAAAATGAAAAGTTTATCTCCATTTTCCAAAATTTGAGAGAGAGAAAAACATTAGATATGGACCAACTTACCCTGAAGGAAGAACAACACTTTTTAGTCTAGCATCCAATGTTGCAAACAATCTGCACATCACTGGCTCCGATTAGCCAAGATTCACCCTTCTACTTATAACAAGGAATTTAACTTCAAGGGGAAAATGTCTTAAATAATAAATATACCTTGCATCACTATACAGATCACTATCTGAGAGTGCACTAATTAACGTAGACTTCCCCTGTTAATAGAGAAAATACGGTAAATGTTGAGCATGAGAAAATAAGGAAACAAACTGCAGTTCCGGTTAGGTTTTGGTCACCTACAGCATTTGTGTATCCTACAACAGCAACAGTAGATAAGCCTTGGCCATCAAGTCCACCTCGTTTTTTACGAGCTGCACGTTGCACAGATCGGGTACGGCGAACCTCTTCAATCTGGGATAACAAATGATTCCGCCGTTCCAAGATTCTAAGAATAAGCTCCAGTCAGTGAACATTCAAACAAACACAAAGTTAATAAGCATTAAGGTAACAGATCACAGTGAGTCCAGTTACAGAAAGGGAAACATAAAGAGACTGAAAACAGGCATGCCACATCCAACTAACCAGATCCAAACTGAGGTGAGAGGATTGAGGAGGAATAAGTTATTCACTAATCACTAATATGGATGTTAAAAACAATGAAATTCTGTGTAAAACTCACATATTTCTGCTGTAGGTAGTGTTACATATTTATACAAGTAGGAAACTCTTAAGCTAGGAAAGTAGCTAATTCTAAGGAATACTCAATCCCTTAAAAGTTAGGGATTACAACTGCTAAGGAATATTTACATAATCCTATCTTAATTACTCATAATGTTCCTAATTTAGGAATCTATTTTCTGATACTCCCCCTCAAGCTGGAGAGTGGATGTCTTCATCTTCAGCTTGCCTGCAAACGTTTGAAAAAGCTTACCAGGTAGTCCCTTGGTAAGTATATCTACAACTTGATCTACAGTGGAGACATAGGGAGTACAAATTAGCCCATTGTAGAGTTTCTCCTTTATGAATTGTCTATCCACTTCAACATGTTTTGTTCTGTCATGTTGAACTGGATTATATGCAATATTAATTGTTGATTTATTGCCACAGTACAACTTCAATGGACCTTCCCACTTAATCTTTAAATCTTCTAAAATAATCTTTAACCACAACAATTCGCAGATTCCAAGTGACATTGCTCTAAACTCAACCTCTACACTGGATCTAGCCACAACATTCTGCTTCTTGCTTCTCCATGTCACTAAATTTCCTCCCAAAAAAGTACAATACCCTGAGGTTGATCTTCTATCAACCACTGATCCTGCATAGTCAGCATCAGTATAAGCTTCTAATGTCAAATTTCCTCCTCTTTTAAACAAAATTCCCCTGCCAGGTGTGTTTGAAGGGTACACCTGGCAGGGGAATTAGGATTGTGCATAAATTGTCTCACAACTCCAACAACATAGGCAATGTCTTGTCTGGTCTCGTATGTGATAGGTAAATTAGTCTCCCCACAAGCCTCTGGTATGAGCTTCTGTCAACTGCTGCATCCTCCATTGTATCCCCAAGCTTGTGGTTCACTTCTATTGGCGTTTCTACTGGTTTGCACCCTAGTTTTCCAGTCTCTTCTAGCAAGTATAGGGTGTATTTCTGTTGAGATATGAAGATCCCTGTGATCAGAGGTCGGATTAGTGTTATTTGAGTCAAAGATAGGTTCGACAGTTACCTCGGTTTGTATAGGAGAGGAAGAGGATGATTGAGCCTGCACTGGTGCCTTTCTTCTTGAGTAAACCAGCTGAGGACGAGTAGTGCCCTGAATTTTTTACTGAGTAATAGGGTCAGGTTGTAAGGTGGTAGGTTGGTTAAAAACAAAAGGTTGATGGATTGGCTGTTGGGAAGAAACAAAAGGTTATTGGATTGGCTGTTGGGAAGAAACAGAAGGAGACTCCTGGTGCTCAGGAAAGTCAATGAGACTGAAGAAGGAAATAATCTATGTCCTTATCTTCCCTGAATGAAATCTCCCCCTGAAGATCAGGACGAGTAAAATAATTTTCCTTTTTTGAAAAAGTGACATCAGTTGAAATAAAATGTCTCCTTGTATGTGGATGATAGCACTTGTACCCCTTTTGAGTGGAAGAGTAGCCAATAAAAACACACTTTAATGCCCTTGATCAAGCTTCCCCTGATTTTGAGAGTGTATATGAACAAATGCAACACAATCAAATATTTTAGGTTTAAGGTTAAGTGAGGGGTTGAAGTTTGGAAAGAAGTTGTTTAGGATTTGGATAGGACTTTAGGATTCAAGGACTTTAGTGGGTAGTCTGTTTATCATATAGGTGGCAGTCAACACAATTTCTCCCCAATACAGTTTATGTACATTTTTTTGAAACAAGAGGGCTCTTGTTATGGCAGGAAGATGGCCATTTTTCCTTTCTACTACTCCGTTCTGTTGGGGGTATTTACATACGAGGACTCGTGAATAATGTATTTTTCTTGAAAATAGGGAGATAAGACTTTATTGAAATAGTCCTTAGCATTGTCTGATCTAAACCTCTTTATTTCTGCCCTAAACTGATTTTTAATCATAGTATAAAAGGTTTTAAAAGTGGAACTTGATGACACTTGCTTTCGTCCGTACAAAATATAACATATATATAGTATTATTATATGATATTATAAGTTATAGTACATATATTTTTATTTACATTCTACTTATCTTGTATAGGCCCAAGTACAAACGTTTCAAATCCCATGACCCATTACACAAGCATCCCGTTTGGCCCAGTAGCACACGTGACCTGCATCAGTCTCTAAGCCGAACCCTAGAGCGCTGTTCCTCGTTCGAAGTCCCCATGCTACACGCCACCAACTCCAACTCTTTCAGCGCAAGGAGAGCACGAAGCAACAACCCACAACCGATTATCTCGGTTCAACAGTAGACAAGTCACAATTGTTAGTTTTTTACTAGGAATCAAATGCCCAAAAATAGGGTTGCTTGAACCTTATAAATAGCATGTAATCCCACTGTAAATGAGGGGGAGGAATACGAAATACAAGCAGAAAATTACTAGCAATCTAAAGCGAAATCGAAGCTTTTCTTTTGCAAACTCTTGAAAAAACAGTAGGTAAAGTTCTTACCTTTTGGTGGTTATATTGCATGCTCGTTTGTTTGCTTCACTTTCCTTTTTCTTTGACTCAAGAAACGCTGAAAAACGCCGATGAACATGTAGGGGTAGAATGTTTTTTCACAACCTTCGAGTTTAGATCTACCCCGAGGCTTTGTATTTGGAGAAAACTATTTAGATTTTTGAAACGAGTACGCCGAGATCTTCCGAAAAAGCTATAAAAAAATTTGACTTTTGCCGCCGATGACTGGCTGCCGTCGCCGATCAACGACGGCGGTGAGGCGGCGCGCGGCAGGGCAACCGCTGGATTCTGGAATGGCTGGCCCCTGTTCTTCATTTTCTTAAGAACATTTGAGAGTGTTTCAAAAGGGGAGGGAGGCTCTCGTTAGTGAAGAAGAGAAAGTGAGAAGTAAAAGCCAAAGCAGTGGCTTATATACCGGCCCGATAACCCGACCCAATGACTTTAGACCCTCGTGTTTCTGTTTAAAAAGGGGTAAACCCGCTTTTGATCCCTCCTTCCTTAAAGGTCTGCTATTTTAATCCCAAATCTGATTTTGAAACCCCAATTCCCTTTTAATTTGGCCACTCAATTTTCTTTCCTTTCAATTTAACCCCTCTTTTGTTCCAAGATCTAAATTTAATTTTGAATTGACCCTTGAATTTATTCTTTCTTTCGATTTAATCCTTTTTTAAATACTTATTATTACTATTATTTTATATACCTTGTTTATAAGTTATTATATATGTATATTTATAACTAATATCATTATTTTTTTATTTTCCTTTACTATTTACATATGTAATATTTTTTTTGTTTTCTTTTTATTATTATTAACGTATATATATATTCTTTTTTACTTTGTTTTCCTCGTGTAATTATATATATTTTCTTTGTTTCTTTTAATTATTAAATATTATATTATAAGGGCCCATTTTTTTGTTTGGTTTCAACTAAAGTCCCCCCTCCCAAATTTTCGATGAAGTGATGGGGGGTAGGTTTCATTTTTTTTAAATATTATATATATATATATATATATATATATATATATGTATATAGTTTATATGTTTTATTAGTATTTTGATGTATATATTTTCCTTTTCAAATAGTACTATATGTACATATTATTTCTTTACTCTGTTCTTATCTTATTTATTTATCTATTTATTTAATTATTTAATTATTTTTTCTTCTCTTTATTTTTATATTTCCTCTATCTTTGATTTATTTACTCATATTTATTTATTTATTTATTCATGTATATATTGTCTTTGCTCTTTTTTATCTCGTTTTATTCTTTTTCCCCTTTATTTTATTTTATTTACTCTAACACATTCACTTTTAAAGGGCATGATTTTCAAATCCATCAAGGGTAAGTAATTTGGATCGTTATTTTACCTTTTAATTTAAATTTACGACTTTCTTAATTAAAGACAACTGAAAATTATATAGTACCAAAAGGACAGTTCAAGGGTGCTAGCCTTTCCTTGACTGTAACCGACTCCCGAATTCGACACATCACTGGTGAAATGCAGATCATGTAAGAAATAAGGTATCCGGTCAACCAATTTACTTTTAAATAAATGATCGGTGGCGACTCCAATTCCATTTTCCTAGGTCGAAGCCCAATTCCGGGCCCAACCGAAAGACGGTTGCGACAGCTTGGCGACTCCGCTGGGGACACAGGTAAGTGAGTCAGGCTAAGGTAATTTCCAGTTGTCTTTTTAACTAAAAGGATGAGTTTAAATTTTTAGGTAATATTTCGATCTTTTTTACTTACTTTTGATTATATTTTCGAGTAAATAGTTGTACTAATTGTTTTCTCATGATTTCAGCCTTCAATTTTTTTTTCACTTAAGGCTCTAAACCCGAGCTCCAAACCCGTTTTAAATGGGGGTGAAAGCGAAGCCTTCGTGTGAATTTATTCACCGTATGAGCCTAGCAAGTAGCCTTCGGGATTCATATACCTTATGCCTTCGTGTGAATTTATTCTTCGTATGGGCATAAAGGAATGTGTCCTCTCGAGTTTAACTTAGTCCACACAAGTCTGTGATGGGTTTAGGACTAAGGGTTTGGTAAGCCCAATGGGGCACCGGCAAGGAGAACTCGGGTACCGTTTATTAGAACCTAAACTGGAAAGCTATGGAGAAATAAAGCCTACCCCGAAACCACATTTCAAACCCTAGGACATTTTTACTCTAACCATGTTTTTGTTCCTTCTTACTCCTCTTATTTTTCTTTTGTCATTTCATATTTATTTATATGTTTTCATTTTACTAACGTTTTTACTTTTGTGTTTGTTTTCTAGCATTTGCATCATTACAA